TGCAGCATCATGACAAACTCGGCATCTCTCGGAACATAAACCATAGAATGTTATTTCTTGACTTCTTTAGGTCGGTGATGAGACGAACGAACAACTACTTCACTGTAAATGTAACCATCTAACTGCGTTCGCCGGTGGTTTCCTCATTGCTCCAAATCCAATAGACTTCGACAAAGTTTTCGTAGAATTTACCAAGCTCGGTGAAACAGGAAATTATGTGGTACTGTCAACTGTGTGTGGCATTTTTGGCGTCTATGTGTTGGTAATTATCTGGGCGAGAAAAGCGGATATGTTAGATGATAGAAAGGTACGTTGACTTGTTGGTTATGAAATGTCTGAGATGCTACAAGCGCACTGGTTGCTTGAAAGAACTTACCGTTTATTGCAGTGGTAGACCCATAGGAAATTGAAAAAAAAATATACTGCTTTTTCTTTTAAGATTTAAAAATGGATTTTATAAAAGCAATAGACCGCACTTTCTATTGGTTCACCAACGCAATAAGTATCTTGGGACTTTCGGAAGGCACTAAAAAAATTTTGTAAATCACTCGCCACCTTAAGCACTTTATAAACTTTTTTGGCGTTCAGCTAACATCCTGAGCAGCTTGAGTTATTCCGCCGGTCAACCTATAAGAAGGGTGGTCTATTACTCATGTTTCGTGTCGATACTAGAAACATTCTTGGAATTCGATGCACCTGCGCATTCGAAGTCATGTAAGGTACCAGAAATCAGTATTATTTATCTAACCAGTTATTCTATGGGTTTCATTGGAATTGCCAAGAGATATGTAATTGACCGTCGTCTAATAGCATGATAATAACTTTTTCTTGGCAGTTGGGTCCAACTGTGAATATAAAACACAACGAGAACAGCTCATACAAGTATGATGTGACCATAATAACCGGAGTTTGGAGACAAGCTGGCACATCGGCAAGCGTATTTGCTAAAATCTACGGAACTGAGAGTTCTACTAAGGAGGTCAACTTGACTGGCAACGCTCCACCTGGTAGAAAACTTTTTGCAAGAGGCAGCATTGATAGTTTCGTCCTTCACCTTGACAGTCAGCTCGGAAGTGTATTTAAAGTTGAAATGTGGCATGATAACAGTGGAAAAAGTTCTTCTTGGTTCCTTGATCAAGTTCATATTGTTGAAAGAAGTACAGGGGAAAAGTGGGATTTCTTCTATCATAATTGGCTGGCTCTTCACAAAGGGAATGGAACCACTGCTGCGACTCTCATGTCCCATGATAATGGTCAGCACAGTCCTGGGTTTAAAAGTATGTTTCACTCAATGGCTTCAGCAGACCTGGCCGATTACCACATCTGGGCCTCCGTCGTTACCAGGCCACCACGGAATTTCTTCACACGCGTTCAGCGTGCCTCTTGCTGCCTTTCTTTTCTGTATTTGGCAATGGTATGTAACGCCATGTTTTATCTGGTAGTCGGCGGTTCCGAGAATTTGATCCAGATAGGGCCATTGCAAATGTCCCTTCGGCAACTAATTATTGGAATTGAGAGTACACTGATAGTTACACCAGTGAGTATTATCATAACTGCATTATTCCGCTTCAGAAAGGCAAAAACGAACGGAGAGTGTGAAGACGGCGATTCAAACAATAATTCTCCTGAAATGTCCTCAGCAAAAAATAACAAGAAACGATTCTTACTTCCCCATGCCTTTGTTTATCCTGCCTGGTTTCTCTGCATTGCAACAGCAGCGACGGCTGCCACGTTTACAGTATTTTACAGCCTTCAATGGGGTAAAGAAATTGCTGATCAATGGTTAGCTTCTGTCTTGGTATCTTGTGTCGAAGATATTTTCATCTGGCAACCTTCTAAAGTCCTAGTATTAGCTTTGTTATTGATTCTAATTTTTAAAAGACCTAAGCCACCCGATGAAATTGAAAATTGCGATGGAACATCCTTTGCAGAGGAGATACGAGAGCAACGTGCCTATGAATTACGGAAGGCAAAATTTTTTAGATTTGCGCGACAATTTTTGGCTTTTTTGGTCTTTTATCTCTTTTTGATGATTGTAGCTTATGGAGACAAGGATTATCATAGGTACCTGATGACTAAAGCCACGCGTGACGGTTTCGCCTATTTCTACAAGGTTTGTGCAAAAATATGTCTTGATGATAGGGAATTTTCGGAAAACTACTTTGCATTCATTTTTCACTTTGCCACAACAAAAAATTATCTAGTGATACTTCAACCCATTGGCAGTGCCGATGGTAGTCCGAACTGAATTGATCTACAGACACTAGGTTTACAATTCTGCGGCATGTCAATCTCGGTATGAATAAACCAGGATGACAGTAGGAAAGTGCCAAAAAGAGTAGGTCAGTTTGAATGCCTGAGAGCATGATTTCATAATGGCATAGGGTGGAATTTTTGGGCAACTTGAATTTAAATATCGTTCCTCCTCTTTTTCAATGTCAGCCATTTAATTTCGCGATGAAGTTTTACCCACTGAGAACTGAATTTGAAATCTAAGGACTCTCTCACTTTTCCTCCTTCTTAAGGTACATTTTAATGATATATGCTGTCAATATAGGTGAAGTTTAAAATCCAGATTTCCAAAATGATGAACGTCAACAACGTTATTCTATTCCTGATTTACCAAACATTATTGTATTTTTTGTCTTATGTAGGTAAACACTGGTGACAAAATGTGGGATTACATGCTGGGAAAGTTCATCCATGACTCTTATGCCGGTGAGTGGTACAATGGACAGTTTGAGCCGACGACAGAGTACATTGGTAACAAAGCTTCCATGCTCATTGGAATGCCTCGTCTTCGACAGTTGAGGATAAATGAAGGTATTTGTCGTTTTCACGCTTTTCATTATGTTTGTAACGAAAGGAGTAGAATGATTTCTCACAGAGACTTAAAGTGACAAATTTGCGTATGTCGAAAGTAGAATGTGGTTGTGCAATAAAAATGACGATAATTTTTTTAGTACTTGGTTAATCTCGTAAGGTTTGAGTTTTAATGTGTAATCTCTGCTCGCTTTGTTTCAAAAATAGAATCATGCACCGTTGTGAAAGAGCTTGAGGATATGATTGATAAATGCTATGACTTTTACTCGATGTCAGAGGAGGATACAACACGCCTTTATCTTCCTCATTGGATTCACTTGTCAGACTCACAGCTTAGCTGGAACAATCTATCACAACTTTGTCCTAAGCCTTGGCGTTATTCAACTGCAGAGGAGCTCAATAACTTTCCATCGTGGGCACAACATCACATATATGGCGGTGGAGGGTACGTTCTCGATTTGGGATACGATAAACCGACTGCTATCCGTATGATGGAGGCTGTTAAAGACAAAGACTGGATTGATAGAAGAACAAGGGCAATTCTGCTTGAATTTCAAGTCCTAAACCTGAACACTAACTTAATGAGCATTATCACGTACCATTACGAAGTTCTTCCTTTCGGATTTGGGCTTACTTACGAAAGGATTGACACCTTAAAATTGTTTAATTTTCAAACTATGGCCTACAGCTTTTACCTAATGTGCCAGTTGATATTTATATTTATGGTGTTAGTGTATATCACGATACTTCTTATAAGACTATGTCGTAAAGGAGGTGCATTTTTCAAGCGAATATGGAACTGGATAGATGTTGGTCAAATTGTGAGTGCCTCGCTTGCAGTTGTGTTTTACGTTATGAAAGTTAAGTTTATGCATGACAGTATCCAAGAAGTGCGAAGGAATCCATTTGTGACAGTAAGCTTTCAGTTCGCAATTTTTTGGACTGAAATGGAACATGCTGCTCTTTCATTTGCTTTATTCTTTGCCACGTTCAAAATTCTGCATTTCATTCGACTTAATCCGCAGGTACAAATACTAGCGTGGTCGTTAGCAATTGCAAAAAATGACATTTTTTCAATAAGTGTTCTCTTCGGATTACTATTTATTGCACATGGTCATTTTGCCTACATGGTTTTTGGTGGCTCAGTGTTTTCATTTTCATCGTTCATCCGCTCGTTCGCTTCTGAATTTGAATTAGCACTTGGGAACACCTTTCACGTTGTCCAACTCGATGATGTCAATAGAATCTTTGGTAATCTTTTCACTGCCAGTTTTATGGTCACACTTGCAATTCTTCTGATCAACATTTTTGTGTCTATTCTTGATATAAATTTACACGATGTAAAGGACGACGAAGAGAAACTTGAGGAAGCATATAGTATGGGAGAATTTATCAAAACACTTCTATTTGGCCTAGATCGCCAGAAAGAGGAAGATACTAAGCTGTAAAATCCCACTAGAATTAAAAAAAGGACGCTTTTTTGAGGAGAAGGGAAGGATAAATTTTTCAAGAACAACATGTAAACAATTCTTCCCCAGGGGCATCTTCTGTAAACATCTTACTCGAAGATCTTTAATTTGACTTCTGTTAAAAAACACTAGGATCCGTTTTTGCCGAGTATGCTTGTGTAAAAAACTGAAATAAATGATAGAAAGTTCCTTTGTGCGTGTACAAAGGAATTTATTTAGGCTTTTATGCTGTAGAAAGCAGTGTTTTTTTAAATGCTTTATCATTTCCCTTCTTTTAAAATTATCTCCCAACTATTGGAGGACCAACGCTAACACTATGTTTAGTGACTTTCGTGTCCTCTGTTACATTATCAAGATGACCTGAAGACTTCATGTACCAGTCGATTTTGTCTTTTATGGCCTATGCGGTTCCGTCTATTTCAACCTTATGTTTACTAGCGTTGACAATAATTTTGAGACACAGTGTCATTTTAACGTTAATATTTCACGAGAAATCGCTTTTAATTCTTAATCAGCAACATTGTAACATAAGAGTTGATTTATTGTAATAAATCATAGTCATAATGTACAAAAGCAATACTTAAATCTAAGTTTTTTCAGTGGGGCACAGAGGTGCCATATTTCTTAGAAATGATATCGGTGAAAGCAAAACTCGCCATCAAATAAGCTCCCACCGGAGGCAAGACGATGGCGATTTTCATTATTCTCATAGCTGTCTATATTTCTAGCCTCATTTTTCCCCGCGATGCCCTCTCTCGGGATATTTACCTCAAGTAAGCCATATTTCATCTACGAGTAGCCCTATTGACAGCAGAGAAAAATTACCGATTCTTAAGATTTTTCGATCGATGTAAAATCAATTTTCAAAGTAAGTTGGACTCGTGAATTTCTCACCTCACAACTGCTGACGATTGTATGTGGCAGAAAAGAAATAATCTCGGTCATAGTACCTATAAGAGAACCCAATGGGCCTAGGTTATGGAGAAACTATCGTCAGATTTAAGATCCGCAATGAAATTGAATACCTTTGAAAACAAGATTCGTAAGTGCGATATAGTTAATTGCTCATCACGATTAACATAATTGTATCTTCATAGGAATAAGTAGGAGGACTTTCTATTTCAGGGATCAACCTATGATTGTCTGTCTGGAACGTGTTCAAAAGAATATACTATTGTGTGCAGGAGATTCATAAAGTCATTTTTCTCCTGTAAGAGGTCAGCTTCCATGCTTTCTGTTCGTTTAGTGAGAGCAGACAGTCTTTTCTCCACGTTTTCCATTCGTAACTCTGTGCTCCGAATAATAGCTTCAGAATTCAAACAGAAGGGCTCTGCTTCAGAAAAACACATGTTAACAAAAGTTGTCTCATCACAAAATAACCTAAATTCCGTCCCACTGCTCCCTTCATGAAACATTTCCTTTACACGTTCTTCAATGAAGCGCGCCATTTCAAGCTCTTCTGCGCTTTCCTCGGCGTTTGCTTTGGCGTCACTATAGGAATCATTGAGTACAGAAACTAACATATTCATTAGGAAAATAGTAGTGGACAGACAGAACAAAAACGCAAACGTAGGACCAATAAAGGGTTTGTCGCTCCGCAGAGCATGTAACGGAACCGCTTTTCCTAACAGGAATTCGAATTGTGACATTACAGCATTAAGATAACTAGAATACTCAAGGACTATACCACCAAATAACTGCATACCCGTTACGACAAATGCATTAAACACGATTAGAAAGAAGAACATATACGAGAGTTGATAGCCTACAGACTGCCGAAAAGATGAAAACAAGTATATCACATGTGGATTAAAACGAATTAGATTCAGAAGCTTGACTGTCACCATGAAAACAGCAACAGCAATAGAAATATTTTCAAGGTTAAGCCAATCCAAGGCTGTGCGGAAATGCATGACTTCATATGGATTTGATTGAATAGATTTGATAGTGTTCAAAACGCTTTTA